TAATATATTATAGTCAGTAGGTATCTATGCAGTGCGGTAGGGTAATTTATTTTGAGGTAGTTAAACTAAAATAAGTCCCGTTTAGGCAAATGAATACTTAGCATTGCATAAGTTTTTAATTAGGGACCTGATTAGATATTTCTGTATATTAATTCGTCAGAATTTTCAACTGTCTACAATTCTACAAGCTAGGGTACAATTTAGACGAATTTTTCGCCACGAGCATGCTTTTTTGCTAACGCCTGACGAACAGTTGCAAAAAATTTGCTTTAGAATCCCTTCGGGGTCCATATCTTGGTCCACTCCTGGACTGGTAAGTTATTATTCAGCCATATTTGAAACTAAAAATGAAAATCATCCGGGTCAGTATTACTTTCCATCTTTGAGGCCTTTGTAAAGAAAGTATAATGAAACTATACAGATGAATTGAAGCGATATAGTCAAATAAGAATAAACTTGTAAGAAATATAGCAAACGAGCTCCTGGATCACTAAACATCTTTTCCTTGGGTGATGATAAACAAAATAATGAAAACAGAATTGGAAAATTCGAAACCGTTCGGAAGTTATCTTGTCCACATACGGGCGGGCGGACGGACAGAAAGTCCAAAATTCTGAACTCGCTAGGAGCTTTTTAATAATAATTAATCTTTTCAAAGAAAATCTTGTTAAAAAGTCCTAAACGCATGGTAATTGGTACTGAGCTGCCTTTAGAGTCGGTGAAAGCTATGCTAAATTAGAATCCTTATTTTAAATTTTGCTGTACTACATATTGCTGGTAGACAACGTCTAGGTCCTTAATCTGGCATTTGTTATATTTCTTCCTGGTCTACAGTATAAACAAAATAATATTTCCTATGTTGAAAAGCCCAGATGTGGCGCCGCATCCAGAAATGGCGTGCATGGCAAAAATAACATTTTTAGAGGTCCTAATTTATGTTGACATTTTTAAATATCCGTGACTTTATTTGGTTATCAATTTCCTGGCCGTAACATATATAAATTTTGTTTGGCATAGTGACTTAATGAATTAAATATTTTTGAAAAATTTGTTTTTATTTCAATCAAAAATTAAAAAATTAACGTCTTTTTAAAAATAACCAAAATTAATATCATAACTCCGCCACTGGTACAGGAAAATATATAGGTAGGTTTTATAGGAAAATATATACGCTTTAATTTTTCTATCTTCATATTTTTCCCTAAATAGCTTTGATTTCAAGATACATATTCCCAAAAAACAACAATAGGCATTTTCAACCCTTTGAGGGTTTTTTAAGGGTTAGGTGTGGGTAGGGTTTGGTGGTATTTTATGGATCTCAAAACATGCGTTCACCCTGATTGAGTTTCAAAGGTGATCTTTCGATCCCGCTTTCCAATAAATCAATTCATGGCGAAAATTTCATTGCAGTTCTCTATATACCTACAGCAGAACCTCAGAGGGAATCAAACTTAACTCGATATCTAGTAATAACCCAGGCGTTAGTGGTCCGGGAACCAGAAATTGTTCTTTTACAATAAATGTTAATGTTCCAAATAAATAATTATGGTCAAATTTATGTTGGGGTTTTTAATTAATTGTTTGAAGCTGTCAAATTTGCTGTATAAATAACAGTCCCGTAGTGTCGCGACACTTACGGACTTAAATTGATAGTAATCGAACATCTACAGGTAACGGGACAGCTAACCTAACCTAACGATCCATTGTCTATGACAGTATGACAGTATGATACAAGAAATAAATAAAGTAAGTACCTACATATGTGTAAATAAATTCCTTATTCAATAAGTCTTATCAATGTCACATTGAAATGAAATGACTGAACAACGGAGTAAGTACTATACGCGTGTAGGGTAGGGATATCACGTTATACTTTATCATTTTTAAGCTCCACCTTTACTGGCAGTTTCGGATACTTCGTCTCCTACCGCTGCGTCCCTTAGAAAGTACTGGAGCAGCTCCCGATTACTCTTAAATATATCCACATTTATATTACAAGATAATAGTTCAATAGCTCAATAGTTAAGATTAATGGTAACGGTTTGTTGGTACGAGAAGCCTGAGGGGAAGCCTAAAACGTGTTTTTAGGTATACAGGGTGTTTTTGGGGCCAGCCTATACATTTTGATACTTCTATATGTATCCCCGGGTATCCCTTAACAAAAGAATTATTTTTGTAGGTCTTATATCGGTTTTTTTCGCAATGCTAACCGCGAGTCTAACCGTTTTCCGGATATGCTTTTTATACAGGGTGAAAATTTTATCTTCAAAACATTTTTTAAAGAAGCTTTTTATGACATCCATAATTATAAAAAGTTTGCTACCAATCCACGTACATTCAATTTGGTGTCAGCAAGCATACTTCTGCACGGTCAAAGGGGGCATACTGTTTTTAAATAGCAACCACTATTTTCTTGTCGATACAAATTGATACAATAAAACTCGTTTTTCAAATAATTGAATTTTAATATTTCTTTAGCTAATCGACTTCGAATCGTATAGACCGATTCATCATCAGACCTTAAGAGTTAGAAAATTGTGCTGAATAATACAAATCCTTACATATTAACATTTGACGTGGACAAGTTACACATAAAAATCGGGTTGAGCTTACTTGTGATTCAAATTCGTAAAGAAACCCCGTTTTTAAAATTGTGCTAAATTCTAAGTTTTAGAGATAGATTTTATATAGCAAAAAAGTTTCCTCGTCACAAGATCTTTCAATAAAAAAAAAGAAAATTAAAATCGGACTATTAGGAGCGCCATTTTGACGGCCACCATTTTGGTTTCCTGCACGGATTTTCGAGTGGCTCCCTATCTCAAAAGGTATTAACTATTACCACAGAAAGTGGCATATTCTAATCAAAAAGTGCAGTTTTTTTTGGCGTACCCAAGGTACTACCACTCATTTGTGGTCACCCGTTATTTCCATCAAATAATTACTTAAGTAACTATATTGATCTGAAAATTCAAAAGAACCAAACCGGCACGGAGAGGACCAAACTTAAACGAAGAGTAGCGACATCTTAAAGTAGTTTGAAGGTGTTAAAATCGCAAAAGGGCTTTTAATCTTGTCCCATTTTCATGGATCTCTTTCATCTGGATTTTTTTTCACATTTTGTTTACAGTTTATCAGAAAATCAGTCGCTATTAGTCATGCCGCCGTGGTGTAATTATTGGTTGTTAGGTTCCATGGTATTATCGTTTACTCTCCACTTCGTTATTTTGTACATTGACGTCCTATCGGTACGAGGAACTGCCGGTTGCGTTCGCCAGAATTAATGATATGTTTACAGGCTGTATTCCAAGTGTGTCCTCTTACAGTGGAAGAATGGGTGGTGGTAATGAAATTTTCGATACCAGTGATATTACTAGATGAATCATTGAAGTTTGTCGCGAGAAAGATTACGGATGGTGAGAATCCCATTTATACTGTGCACGGAATTGTTTTAATGTGGGCCATTTGGTTTGGTGTACTCGCTAAATGCCCTATTTAAGTGTAATGCCTCATAGGACGAGGCCGGCGGAGCGTGAGAAGTGGGTGCTAATATGAGTGACACGTAGCTAGCGAGTTCACAAACAGCAAATACTTTCTCTTCTATTTCATAATCAATCTTTCATTTCCTCTACTTTCACTGCCATTTAGTGTCACCAGGATGTACGATTAGATTCATAAGTAACAAAATTCAGTTTCTTTCGCTTTAGCTTTAAAAAGAATCATGTGAACATAGCATGAAAGAGTATCCCTTCGCTGCATTATTCTATCTGTGTAATTTGCAATTTTTTTATGTTTATTTATTTATGATATCAAGTGTATATTGAAATTTGCAGTAAAGGGATATTGCGAACTGAAAATCTAACCGCACCATGCTTGGTATGACGAAACCCACGCATGACATTGCACTAGAAAAAGATCAAAAGTAATGCATTGGCAATATCTTATTTAGAACCGTAAAATCCGATGGATTACGACACTCGGACATCCCGACTATAAGTAAAAATGCTGTGTGTAAACTGTGCTAGCCACTAATTAGGAAATTTTGTATCTAAACTATAATAGAACGCACCGCATAGACATTTTCGAATATATATCACAGCGGTAGGCTGCTTTTGTTGAAGGGCTGTGCTTTATATTCAAAAAAACTCATACGGACGATGCTCAAGTCGGAAAAAGGAAGTTGCATAAACAGGCAAGTTAGTGTGTCGCATGAAGACCTCAAAGTGTTGTGATTTTAATTTAAAAAAAACCCTCAAGTGCATGAGACAAGACTGATGGCGTAGTTGCAACGAACCCTTTAGTCTGTGTTGCAAATGTTCCATTTGTGTAGGTAATACAGTAGTTAACGAATCGATTATTTGGTCAGTTTTATTTTATCAATTTTTGTACTTATGGCAAAACCGATCAGATATTACGAATTCGAGTTAACTTGTTAATGTAAACTAACTTCGTGTATTACTCGTTAATTAACTACACTTGTTTCGTATAAGTGTAATTAAGTTTAGACAAACGTAATTAATTTCGGTAAAATCATATCGGTGGCAAATATTTAATTCTAATGGTGTACAAAGTAATTTTAATTCGTTACCGAGATCGCTTACGTCTGTTTAGACTGCAATTTGTCGATCCATGATACATTGACAAATGGTTTCCGAATTATTTATTAATTTATTTATTGTAGCAAATAGCTAACAATAGATACCAGTATGCGACATACAAGACATTAATGTCAAACAAATTATTTAAGTAGATCAATTTCTAATTTATATCAAATTATTTATACGCCTTTGTCCGGTGTTTGTAGAAAGAAACGATTTTGTGAAACTGTTTGTCCATTTTTTGCTGTAATCTCTAGTTTTGTATATATTTATATTGGGCAAGTGTTACGAAAACTAATAAAGTTATGGACATTTTTATTCATAATTGGATTGGATGTGTTACCTGTTACTTTTATTTCAAGCTTGCGTTTTGTGTGTTGTGTTTATTTATATACTAAATGTTTAACATACAATTTTATTTAAACTGCCCTGCTAATCTTTATTACACTTACAATTTTTTTTAATGCAATAACATATTGAATTGTGATTATTAGTCATACCAACTTTCGGTACGAATTCAAGGCTGGTTGATATAATAATCATCGAGTTAATTTCCGTCCTTTATCTAAGGAGGATGCTTATCCATTCCCACACACATCTGTAATTCTAGATCAGTGTAGGTATCAGGTGCAATAGGTATTCATCATTGTTTATTGCCAATTAAAACATCATGAAAATTTAAAACATAGTTGTAAACTTGCGCACTTGTATTGCTAAAGGGATGTGGTAATTTATATCCATACTTAATTTTTTCCATCTGTACGGGGAGGTTTTTTACCATATTTATCTATTAAAATTTTCCAATTATTCAATCTCTTCCACACAAATAGTAATTAACCATCACATACTTTTTATCTTCATCTCAGTTTTTCAAGTTTTCAAGTAAACAAATATGTCTTGCACAGTTTTCTTCATTAGCATTCCTTAATTTTTTTAGTTTAATTGGTTGACAAAGTTTGTGAAAGGTGTCCCGAATCAAGGGCCAACAAAGTTTCATATTTGTTATAAATAGTACAATGCTGCGATTAAATTATCCAATGGTAGAAATAATATTTCTAGTGGAGCTAAATAGATTTTCTTAATCTGCTTTTACTTCTCTAATGGATCAACTCTTCTGAACATCGATTTTTACCTTACCTTGGTCATTTATTTATTTTTATTTATTTATTATCCCTCTCTCGTTCTGGGTCCTCAACAGGCTTGCGCCCAATTAATGAGTGACCCGCATAATGCAACAATCAAAACATAATGTTGATATTGAGGCAGAATTAACCTACCCTTTTCTAACGCTTGATAATGATCATAATAATCCCTTTCAACCATGAAAGTATCATTTACAATGGAGCCCCCCCCCCCGCACCAGTGTTTTCCACAATCCAAAACACTACTACTAAATTTGCATGTGGTGTACCCCCACCCGCAATATTAACCAAAGTGTGTTCTCTCAAATTTTCATTTGTCTCCTGATAAAGTAAGTATAAGTGTGTCCGTTACCACCCGTATTCGATTTCAGCAATTTCAGTAAGTATCAATGTAAACATTATACGGAAAACGAATTTGAATTTGTTTGGATATGAATTTTAATCTGAGATTGTTTTGTTTTTCACAGTAACTCCAGTGCACTATAGAGAATAACGCCGTTGTATGACACGGTATAAGCCAATACTGAAGTACAAGCAGATGTGCAACCTGAAGATACCTACAAATAACAGTCAACCAGTTTTATAACAGTTTTCGATACATTTCTACTAACAAAGAAGTTGATTTTGTTTTCTAATACATTAGAATCTAGAAGCTTTGAGCACTAGAGATTCCTAGCCGACTGGGTTTTGCATTTATTTTTTGTTGCAGTTGGAGAAGAGGTTACTGATAGGTGGGAATAAATTTTCAACTTTATGCAGCATCTAACTCTTTTAACTATTCTGCATCAGATTTCCCATCATACAGAGCTTAATTTTCTATCTTTATAAGTTACTAGCCACTTGTAATTATATAAAACTTATTCTTTTATATAATTACAACTTGTAAATAGAAATACCAAAGTAAGTATAGAGGCTAAAATTTTTCAAAAAATTTTTTCGTATATTTTTTTGATCGCTTATTTTGCTGTTTCCATTCAATAGTTTAGAGATGTGTTGTTTTATTTCCTATTTGTCTCCCTTCCTCTCCTTCCATAAAAAAAGACCTGTGATTAAGTAATATTATGAATGACGAACTTGACAATGTAAAATCAACCCTACGTTGAGGTCAGCTCTGAACGGGCTTCAGGTATTTCCAACTAACAAAGAGGAAATAGCCTCGTCATTAAGTTCTGAGTGTTATCACAATACGTCTATTCATTTAGTTTTTAGAAACTTTTACACTTGCCACATGTGTGAAGTGGTATTTACATGTCATTATTAATATTTGTTATGCATAAAAATATGATATAGTTCGAGCTGGTCTCGACTGAAATGCGGTATATTAATATCAGAATACTGATGTACAGATTGTATCTATTTATTACACATCATTTTGTACACACAAAAATTTGTGTAAATAAAGGTTGCGACTGAGTAGTCGTTATATATAAGTTTCTGTATTGTCTTATTCTTTTTTTTTGAATAGGTCTATTGAAAACTTTTCAGGAACCTTCAATTTCTAGAGATTTACTACAATGGTTAGGTAGGTGTATTCAATGTATACTTAATATCCATATGCCTATTTTTGGCTCAAATTTTGCATTTATATTTGTACTGTGAACTTGATATAGTGAAGCACAAAATAATCTACCTTTTACCACAGATTGTTGATATCTCTGGTATTACTGATCGGATTCTTCAACAATTTGTCATTGTATTAAATAGTTTTTTAAACATTTAACTAGTATTGTGGCAACGCGCCGCTGCGTATCCGGCACCTAAACTAAAACGTGCTGCACTCTCATTGGTCAAAACTACTAACCGATGAGAGCGTGGCGTCCCTACCCTGAAAACCTTTAAAATCAGAGCTCCGCAACTGCTGCTTCGAGGGCGCTTCAAGAAACCTCGTCAGAAGACCCGCACAACCGCGCTAACTCGCCTGCCGCGTGCATTTTGGCTACCATATTGTAAATACCATGCGTTCAAAAAAGAGTTGCTGCCGAGTCACCTTTGGAATTTTTATTGACATGGCAAATCACATTTAACTTGAACTTCCAGAGGCGACTCGACGTCATTCCTTTTTTAATCGCCCGTTATTTTATCTAGCGTCGCACGCTACTGGTGAGTCGACTTGGATGATGGCTGCAACGTAAAACCCTGTAAAACCATCCTTTTCAGTACGAACACAGAGCATACAGTTGCATAAGAAAACAAGAACGAGAGCCACGTTCCGGTTTCGGCCAGGTAACCTATGATTGATACGGAACCGTTCTGGAAGAACAACCCCACCTGTGGTTCCACCAACTGGAGGCGGTTGTACACCCATCGACAATGATATATATTAAGACAGATACTTCGCACTGAAAAAGGGATGATGGCCTGCTTCACGGAGAGCGAGCAAAAACTTCTGATGGAAATTGAACTGGGCAACCTCAAACTGTCCCAATTACTTTTACAACTTTGTAACTTAGGAGGTCCACCCATCGGGGGCGCTACAAATACTGAGAATAGAGTCGGTCCCAGAACGCTACCTTGAGGAACACCATAATGTACTTCGGTTGCATATGATACACCATTGTTTATTTTTATCATTTGAGTTCGATTTGTCAATAGTTTATTCCATTTTGGTTTTTGTGTATTTTTTTAGTATTATTTCGTTTATTACGGAAATTCAACGTTCACTCAATGCATGAATAAGGCCCCAAAATTTTGGAAATTTTTGGATTCATTTTATTGATTTGTTGAAAATATAAAAATTAAATTAATTTACCTACACTTCTTTTATTTATTCTAGACATTCAAAACGTCCAATGACACACCCACTATCAAGTGCACATGATGCATTTTATTTCATTCTTGGAATTTATCCATTATTCTTTCTGGTTTTCTTTCTAATAAGTATGAACATTCAAAATGCGCAGCGTTTCAAAGTGCACATCACGATGCACAAAAGGATGCCATTTTCTTTCCTTCAGTAACGAAGCACCCGTTTTCAAGAATTATATCAGAATTAATGAACGCACCATATCTATACATTGATACTAATGGGAGAAGGTAAAAGTAATTGCTTTGATTTCTAGCGTTGTGGGTTAGCCAACGATAAGAAAAACCATCTGCCGAACATAATTGTGAAGTTTCTTATTGCTCCTGGTGGAGATATGTAAATTATTTTTGTAACGTCCGATAGCCCTCGGCGTGAACAAGTAGGGGAAAATTTAGTATTTTAGGTACTACCGCCCAAATTTACCCGCAAGATCCCTGGAGTTTTCCGTTTGTTCCGTATGTCTAGCCGTGGCTTCCGAAACCGATCCAAAACCGACGGCCGTCCTTAACCAGCAGCAAGGATCGACAAAGTCCTGGTGGCGCTCGAGATGCTGTACCTTTCCGCCAAGGCTATCGCACCGCTCCGTCCACTATCGCAGTTGAGTTGCGTAAAATCAAACTTAATAACATTGTGATTTGTTTTATGTAATTTTTCCACTGATTAAAAATTAATTTTTTCCAACTTATTGCATTGTTCATTTTTAGGAAAGTGCGCGTACTTCCCGGCTACTTAATTTTTATCTTCCTAGCGCGATCACCGTTTTTGGACATGATAAAATTTCATCAAATGTCAAAGTTTTAGATCATTTTAAGTAACTTTTAAAGAATTAAATTTTTTTCCGTCTGTATATATGTGCGTACGTTGGAAATTTTCCGAGGTAACGGCTCCACGGATTTTGTGCAAATTTTGTATATGTATATTAGGCATACTGAAGCGAAAAATAACCAGCCACATTTTTTTTTAAATGTTGGAGCGCCACAATTACATCGAATTTTTTTTTCCTAACGGCAACCTAAAATTTTTATTAAGTTATTCGAAAGACCTTATTTTTCTGTGTACAACCTACAAAAATTGTGCCAGGTTGTATTACAAAAAAACAGAAAAACATTTCAAAGTTAAAAAACAAAAAAATTACTTTCGTTAAAAATTTGCGAGTGTATAGGCATTATAAATTATGTAAAACTATCAAAAACTTTTTTTTAATATCTAAGTTTTTAGCGCCGTGACATAACACACCTTTTTTTTCAACTAACAAGGGAATATTTTTATTAAATATTCGAAAGACTTTCTTTTTTGTGTACAACCAAATTAGGTGATGTTTTATTATAAAAAAAGTGGAGAAAAAAAATTATCTAGAGGCTTAGTGCACGTTTATTATTTAGGATGAGCGATTACAGAAGTTCGCTCGGTGCCTTTTGGGGTTTTTTTAAAAGAAAAAAATGTTCTTTATGTAATGGTTTTGTTCGTCTGCCCGTCTGTTCCTCGCCTAATTCCAAAACGGTGTGAGACAGCGATGTCAAACTTTCGCCAATCGATTTTTATGAGTTCAACTATTGAATATGAGCCGGATCAAAAGTTTGGTTCCCGAATACGAACTGAGTGGGAAAAAATGTCCCTACTGAAATTCGCTAAAAAACGTATAAGTACAAATTCTTCCCTGAGAGTGATTTGTATTAATTACCTACATATGTTACAATTTGTAATAGAGAGCCTTAATTAATGCTTTAAAGATGTGTCTTGAATTTTATGGATTGTTTCTACCAATTTGCGATTATCGCTTTCCAGTTGCTTTATTGATGCTTTATTAATTATCAGTTGTTTCCTCATGTCAGCGACGGGGTCACCTGCAAATAAATGTCACTGTTAGAGTATAGCAAGTGGTAAAAGCTCAAGCACATTTCAGGATTCGGCACTATCCTACTACCCCAATTTTAAATGTGAACTGTGATGCGAGTTCGGGTAATTTTTAAATGCATTGATAAACCTAATTTTGGGAAGTAACATCGGATTTACATTTATTTGTATGTGAATTGAGGTTTTACTTATGTGCATAGGTATACACGGACGGATGGACGGAAATTACGCATAAAAGTTTTCAATGTACCTCTACTAAATATAACACATCATTTAGCTAATACTTTTTCCCAAAATGGCATGATGCTCACCATATTTATTTTATATATATTTTTACTGGGAAAACAAATTCTTCTAATAAAATCTGTCCTTCCGGTTAATTGGAAATAATACCCTTAGGGTTTATCCGTTTATCTAGCCTAAGCTCCAAAACAAAGTGGAGGGCACTCGATGGATTAAAAACATTCACAACTTTATTGGTACCTATAATATTTATTTTTAATTTAACCACCCTGAAAATATTGCACGCAATGAATTATAGGTACGCACCCGTAATTTCCGGCAGAGTTTGTCTAAGTGCTTTGGTCCTCTTATTCTGATTGATCCTTCTTTGATCAATAAAATCCTACAAAAATGTAGGGTATCAAACTACGGCAGTATTACTAGTATGTATACAAACCGCAACTCTGTCAGCTAAATTTTCCAAATTATGCGACCTTTTCTCAATTTGCAAATTAATCTTTTGTAATTTTTCGAAGGTGAATCGACACGCAATGTTAATTTCAACAATAGAACGTTTAAAATCCTCGAGTTTATCGCACGAGTCCAATTCAGCCCTAAGGGTTTTGTTCTCTGAATCCGTCTTTGCCAACATTTTCTTGCAAGAATTGATTTCTTCACTTAGATTAGCATTCTCTAGCTTGACAGATTTCAAGCTGGTTTTTAAAAGTTCGCAGTTAGTAGCACTCAGGGCTAGATCCGACGCTTGCGTCGAGACATGCTGTTCGCAAAATGCCAGTTCGTGCTCCAGCTGTGTATTACTCTGCCGAAGATCATTGATCGTTTTTGACAAAGAGTTATTTTTGAGCGTTTCTAAGGACAGTTTTTTAAGTAGACGTTAATGAGCTGTTGCAGGTACCATTCTTGGCCACGGTCTTGGACTGTTGTAGAGATTTATTAGTTTGCCTAATTATCTCTACCGAGTGTTTGTATTTGGTGTTTTTTGAGTCAAGTTTCGTACGCATTTTGATATTTTCGGCTTGCAGTGTCTCCAAGTGGCTCATTTGTGTCCGTATTTCTTCGATGATCGCTTGTGATACTTGTGTTAAACATCCATATTGAGACCTATCGTATATATCTTCTTTGAGAGTTTGCCTGGAGCAAAATAATACTAGTGACGGTCTTAAAATACTCAAAATTACCTTAACGCACTAAGAAGTGTACACCTTTTGTAATCCTGTAATTCATCCATTATGGATCTGACGCAAGTTATTGATACAGCACAGTTTTTGCAAGAAATTGGTTCAACTGGCGTTTGGGAATAGCGATCACACGACAGGGATGAGCTCGCATCAAATGAGGGCGGGTCAAATTTCGACTGTAATCAATTTTTTGAGCTTAACGACTGGTCAAAAAGCTCTACCCACCGTTTCTACAGATTTTAAACCTTCAAGTTTCTGCCACAGCAGTTTGCTCGCTCCTCCAAGTGATAAACTACTTGGCGCTTCCATGCTTTTGAATGGCGGCTGCTGGCATCTTTTATCCTCCAAAAACTTTGC